GTTGCGGATTTCGGAGTCCACCCAGAAGCTTACATAACTCATCTCAAATTCAAAGTTATGTAAGCTTTTGTGGGTTTTAGAGTCCACACAGAAGCTTACATAACTTTGAATTTGAGAAGGGTTATGTAAGCTTTGAGCATTTTGCCTTCACCCTAAAATACCAAACAACTTCGCATTGCGACCCGAGTTATGTAAGTTTTTGCGGATTTCGGAGTCCACCCAGAAGCTCACATAACTCATCTCAAATTCAAAGTTATGTAAGCTTTTGTGGGTTTTAGAGTCCACCCAGAAGCTTACATAACTTTGAATTTGAGAAGGGTTATGTAAGCTTTGAGCATTTTGCCTTCACCCTAAAATATCAAACAACTTCGCATTGCGACCCGAATTATGTAAGCTTTTGCGGATTTCGGAGTCCACCCAGAAGCTTACATAACTCATCTCAAATTCAGAGTCGTCGCCGTACCGTGATCACCACTACTACTACTAGCTACTGCTGCTGCTGATTGATGCTGGTGAAGCTGGAGTCCAGGGCAGCGGCCCCAGGGAGGCTCCTGGAAAATTAAAAAATTAAAACAATTTTAAAAAAAGAAAAAACAATTAAATAGAGCACCAGGCGAAACCTGCATTTTTCAGCCACTGTTCCAAGGATTGGCGATTTCGCCTGGTACTCTATTTATTTTTCAATTTTTTTTAATTTTTTAAATTTTTTAAATTTCCCAGGAGCCCCCCCCCCCCTCCCCCCGGCGGCGAGCTGGAGTCCAGGGCGGCGGCCCCAGGGAGGCTCCTGGAAATTTAAAAATTTAAAAAATTAGAAAAATTAACAAAAATTAAATAGAGTACCAGGCGACACCTGCATTTTTCAGCCACTGTTCCAAGGTATGGCGATTTCGCCTGGTACTCTATTTTTTTTTTTTTTTTAAAAAAAAAAAAAAAAAAAAAAAAAAAAAAAAAAAAAAAAAAAAAAAATAAAATTTTCCAGGAGCCCCATCCCTCCCCAGGCGGCGAGCTGGAGTCCAGGGCGGCGGCCCCAGGAAGGCTCCTGGAAAATTTAAAAAAATTAAAAAAATCAAGAAATTTTAAAAAAAAAAAATAGAGTACCAGGCGACACCTGCATTTTTCAGCCACTGTTCCAAGGAATGGCGATTTCGCCTGGTACTCTATTTATTTTTTTTTATTTTTTTTAAAAAAAAAATTTAAAATGTTTTTAATTTTTTAAATTTTCCAGGAGCCCCCTCCCTCCCCAGGTGGCGAGCTGGAGTCACGACGGCGGCCCCAGGGAGGCTCCTGGAAAATTAAAAAAAAAATGATTTAAAAAATTAGTAAAATTAAAAAAATAAAAAAAAATACAAAAACAATAAAAAAACAAAAAAAGCTGAAAAAAAAATAAAATAAAACATCAATAAGGTTGGTACCGGGAGGGGCCGTAACCATATATATATATATATATATATATATATATATATATATATTATATATATATATATAATTATATATATATCAGAGTCGCGTCGGTGCGTCTCGGCGCTGCCTTGGCGCATCTGGGAACACCATGCGGGGGGGAGAGGAATCATCATCGCATACTGAGACGTTGACGTTATCCGAGTGGCCTTCGGCCCATCCCACCACCGTGCCTGAGTTGTTTGTCTGAGGCCTCTTGTATATGTGTTGGGGTGTCGTGGTGAGCCCCAAGAGGACCTCTTTGAGGCGGTTTGGGTGCCTCTTGGGGGCCTCTGGGGGCCTCGTGGGGTATCGATTGGGCCTCGTGGAGGCCTCTTGAGCGTGTCTTGGGCGCCTCTTGGGACCTGTTGGGGCCTCTCGGCGGCCTCTTGGGGCCCCCTGGGGGCTTCTCGGGGCACAAGTATCGAATGTTCGGTTCGTGGTCCCCTGCTTGGGCCCCTCTTGTGGCCGTCTTGGAGCCTTCTTGGGCCGTCTTGAACGCTTCTTGGGCCATCTCGGAGCCCTCTTGGGCCGTCTTGGGGCCCTCTTGTAGGCGTCGTGGGCTGTTTTGGGGACGCCTTGGGAGCTGGAACCGTCTTGGAGCGTCGGAAAGCCGAAAATACGAGAAGGCCAAAACCTTTTCAAAAACATGCGTAAAATCTACGATTTGGGCCTTTTGGAGCTCCATCGGGAGGCCTCTTGGAGCGCTCTTGGGGCCTCTTCGAGGCCTCTTGGGCGGTCTTGGAACCATCTTCGGGTTTCGGGCGCCTTGGAGCACTCTTGGCATCGGCAATGGGATAACGGCGTAAGTTGCAAGGGCTGATGGCCTCGGGGACGCGAAAATTGCATAGTTCGCAAAGGCGAGGCTGGCCAGTCGGAATGACAGTGACCCGTGGGGCCGTAGCCATAGCACACGCCCGAACCACGCTCGGACCAAGCATAGTCCCGACCACAACGCGCAAGAAAAGGGGGGGCGTCTGGGGCCGCCCTCTGCCTTGAGAAGGGGGCCGACCAGCAGGTGGCAGACCGGCGGCGCACGCTGACCGCCAGTCTCCGACCACGCTCCAACGCTACACACAAAAATCCACTGGACTGCTCCTTGTGAGTGTTGCTTCGTTGGTCCAGCGCGCTGCTACTGGAGAGTCATCAGCTGATGTAGCGCGATGCAGTGCTGCAGGCAGCGAAAACAATGAAAAACCTGCCGCCGAGATTCTCTCATGACTCACAGGGTCTGGAAATCGTGGCGGGCCAGAACCGGCGGCGCGACACGCTAAGCCACAAAATTCGTGTCTCTGGGCAGGCTGTGCTGCCTGGGGGAGGGAGGGGGAGAGAGGAGGAGGAGGAGGAGGAGGAGGAGGAGGAGGAGGAGGAGGAGGAGGAGGAGGAAGACGAGGGGCAAGAGGAAAAGCACACCGAACAGACGCTGACCAGAAGGAGGGAGGGAAGCAGCAGAGGCAGTGCAGAGCAAGCAGGGGGCGGACGGAGGTGGTCGTCGTCGTGGCCAAGGCCAGGGGGGGTCGTTGGGGCAGGGCGTCGGGGGCGGCGGTCGCGGTCAGGGGAGGAAGTGGTCGTGGTCAGGGGAGGGCGGCGGTTCAGGCGGCGTCGGCCGCGCTAGCCGCCGTGGCCGCCGCCAGCCTGGCCGCGGGCGCCCCGGCCGGCGCCTGCAGCCTGCGGAGCACGGCCCGCGCGTTCTCCTTCTGGAGAAGATGCGAGAGTCGCTGGGCGTGCTCCGCCGCGACCTGCGAGGGGTCGCCCCCCGTGGCGTCCGCCGCGCGCTTGGCCAGGACGGCCAGGGCGCGTCGCGCCTCCTTGCCCCGGCCGCCGCCGTGCGCCTCGACCACCATGGGAATGAAGGTGATCCCGGCGGCGGCGCAGCTGCGCTCGGTGTCGAGGAAGAGGCGTTTTCGCTCCTCGCACCGCTCGGCCGCGGCACAGGGCGCGGCAGCCGAGGCGGCGAGCAAGTCGCCCCGCAGCCCCGAGGCGACCGCGAAGTCCAGGGCGGCCGGGGCACCGTTACGCCATCGGGGAATATACACATCCGCCGGGCGCCGGCCGCCGTCGTCGAGCTCGCCGCCGTTCTCCCCCGTCCCCGGCGGGCCCTCGCCCCTCGCGCGAGGCTGCAGCAGGCCGGGCCGCTCGAGCTCGGAGCCCGGGAACCCCGCGGCCTGCGCGGCGAGGAAAGCCTGGTCTCGCAGGGCGTTGCGCCGCTTGACCCGGTCCCCTCGGCAAGGGCAGACCAGCGCGTGGTCGCCGTAGACGTCGAGGACGCCGTCGCAGGCCGGGCAGAAGGTCTCGGCGTCCGCCAGCTGAACCCGCAGGCGCCTCTGCAGAGCGATCTGCATCAAGCTGCGCGGGAACTCCGTGCCGACCTCAGCGCAGGGCCGTGCCTGCAGCCAGCCGCTGGCGCCGGGAGCGCTAACCAGCGAGAGGTGGGCCCTGGTGGCGGGGCAAGCGCGCTCCCAGAGTTCGGCCTTGGCGGCCTTGTCCAGCCTGTCAGAGAGCCCCCGCTGGTCGCCGTGGTTGCTGGCGTCGAAGGCTATCCTGTCGGCCTGTGGTAGCCCGGCGTTGTAGGCCGCCGCGGCAGCGCCCAGGGCGTCGTCGGCGCCCGTGTCGTCGTCGGAGTAGCCCGCCCAGAGCTGCTGGCAGAGCGCAGAGCCGGCCGCGCGGGAGGCCAGGTAGGCGGCGGGCGCGTGGCGCTCCGCTGAGCGCAGCCCCAGGCCGCCTGCCTTGAGGGCGAGCTGCGCCTGCGCCCAGGAGTCGTCCGCGGGGGAGCTGCTGCTCAGCTGCTCGAGGCTGGCGCGCACTGCGTTGTCAAGCGCGACGAGCGCTTCCGCGTGCACGTTGGGCGGGACAACCCGCGCCGAGTAGCTGAGTCTGCAGAAGCCGGCGCAATTGCCGCAGCAGGTGGAGCGCAACCTGGGCGTGCTCGAGGGCGCCGAGTGCTTCGAGGAGCTCGG